TCAGCTGCCCAGATAGAAAGAAAGAGAGGGCACCCACCAAAGGTCGCGCTGGGATCCGTCTTCGTGCAAGACTCACAAAGTGCACGGTACAGAGCCGCCAACAACGCGGAACCCCAGCTCCACTGAGGCACCTCGCCTACCGCGGCGTCGGCGATGCTCCTGGCGTAGTGCACGAGTCCCTTGTCGACCGCGTGCCCGTGACCGCCACAGAACATCACCCAGCCAAAAAGCCAGAGCAAGTACGCCTCCAAACATCGGCTGTACGAGTACTCGTCGGCCTCCGCCTGTAGCTGCTCAACCTGCAAGCCGTCGATAAAATGTTAGGCACCTTAACTGCGGACTAAATATGTAATACGATTGTCATTTCGGTACAAAAACACTCACGGTGAACTGAAGCAGCCACCTCTTCGTAGGTCCGGTGTTGCGGTGGTGTGCCAACGGCTCGAGCGGGAGGTGCGGTGCGCGCTGTACTAGTGCGAAACGTGCCGTCAGATCGTCCTGCCAGTCCACAGCCGTGGTCACTGGCCCAACAGCGTCTCCCGCGAGCGGTAGCCCCAACAAGTACGATACGTCCTGTAGGGTAGGGGCTACCTCACCGCACGGCAAGTGAAAAGTGTGCGTCTCTGGCCTCCATCTATCGACCAAAGCTGCTACGAGGGACCTGTCCACAGTCCATCGTCTGGCCGGGTCCGCGTCGCCGGCCGCAGCCTCCACCAGCCGACACATCGGTAAGAGGCCGGCCTCACGTAGCCTGCAATAACAAATTAATATGTCATTATAAAAAATGTTACAATGCAACTAACTTATAGTAAAACACTGTTCGTACCTCTCGACAAAGGAGTCGTGAACCGTGAGTAGCTCACCGCACGTCCGTGCCCGGAACGTCCCAAGCTGAGCCCCCTGCACCGCAGTAAGGTGAGACCGGTGTCGGTGATCTATCGCCGGGTCCAACAACTGAGGTGTATCCTGACGTGCCATCTCTGAAAAATATAGTGTTTCGTGTTAGAACAATTCAAAAAATAGTACTGTAAAACAAAAGATAACTTGCAAAAATTATGAAATAGTAATAAAATCATGAGATTAATTATGTACAACAAGAGTACAGGCTATTTAAATATAGCAAACGTTACTAATGGTACATAACGATGACGTGCAATTTAACATATATGTAGAGTTCAATAATATAACATAACATTACATGTCGAAGTCCGACATACATCAGCATACCTAAAGACGTTAGGCGCCTTAGTCCGACGTTACATCACGAGACCTAAAGACATGACATGCCGAAGTATGACATTACACGACGAAACATAAACACATCGATAAGTTCGAAACGAATTACAAGCAAATCCACATGCCGACATAGAACATAAAAACTACACCACGTAGCCAGACGTGGCACGACGACGCCTAGGACGTGGTCGAGTGGAGGTAGTGCCTTCACCCGTAGGGCGAGCTCCATCTGCTGCTGATCCTGATAGTCCTGCCTCCGCCGCACTTGGTTTCTCCTTGTCTTTAGGACAATGCTTGTAGGTGTGCCCATGTTCATCGCATTTGCTGCAACGCTTCACCCTGCCAGCCTCCGACTCGTCCATATCGTTGCGGATGCGACGAGTCCTCCTCCTTCCAGCCTTGCCTCGGAGCTTCGATGGGTCAGGAATATTGAGTACTTCATCGTTAGTCTCTGTGAACTCCCCAGCTATGCCGAACCCATAAATCTCGCCGCTCCATGTATGATATATTGCTTGCTTACTGAAGTACTGTGACACATATACTGCATCTGGTATGCCACACTCCGCTGCGGCAGCAATGACATGGGTGCATGGCCTGTGGAGCAGCTTCGGCTTTGCACAAGAGCAATGACATGTGACGTCGGCTTTGAGAACACACTCCTGCTTCACTCTCTTGCGGTAGATACCCCTGCCTGCCTTATCTTGACATAGTATCTCAAACCTGTGCTGTTGGGTACCTTGCACTAGAGCTCGATGTTTCATGGCCTTTTTACGCAACTCCTCTAGCTTTTTCTGCATGAAAGCTCCAAACAAAATGCTGTTGTTCGGCATAGAGGGAAGAACTGCCTGGAACCGATCCCTAAAATACCTGCATGTCCCATGTAAAATGAACTCCACTATGCCAACTAGTGGCAGTCCACGGACACCGCACATCACCCAGTTGTAAACTTCTGCCAAATTTGTTGTCATTATTCCATATCTAGCACCACCTGTGTCATACGCCTTGGCCCATTTCTCTTTTGGTTCATGCAGAATCCACTGAGAAAATTTCCGAATCTCCAATCCAGTTCTTCTAACCAATGTTGGACTATCCGTTGGGAGAGTTCCAAGAGCTTGAGGAGGGTCAGCAACGGCGGTCGATGGAGCCGCTGCACGCTGATCACTGCATTTGGCTGTCAACTCATCTAATCTCTTCCAAAGCTCATTGAATTTTTTCTCCTGGTTCTGATTGCACAGCCTCTTGAACATGTTCATGAGCTCCTTGTTCTTGAATTGCTTGAAGAAATTAGCTCCCATATGACGCATGCACCACCTACTCTGTACATCTTCCCAAACACCGGGGTATCCTCGTTCCATACTCCCAAACTGCAACTCTCCTATCGCTCGCAGAATGCTAGCGTGCCTATCATGTATCAGGCATACATTTGGCCTCATACCAACAACTTTTGTTTTAACCAATTTCAGGAACCAGTACCAGCTGTCGGTATTCTCACTCTCAACAAAAGCAAATGCCAAGGGCAATACCTGATTGTTCCCATCTACCCCTATTGCTGTTAGTATCTGGCCCCGATACTTTCCTGTCAAGAATGTCCCATCAATGCAGAGAACAGGACGACAGTTCACGAATACCATCTTGTATGCATGTAGAGCTAAGAACGCCCTTTGCAGCACACTCTTGCCAGGATGTTCAATTGAGGGGAATTTCTTCACTTCGTAAGAGCTCCCAGGGTTTCTTTCCTCGATAACACCAAGCAGGCGTGGCAAATTGTCATACGAGGCTTCGTAAGTTCCAAATCTCATCTCTATTATTTTCTGTTTGGCCCTCCAGGCCTTGGCATAGCTAATAGTATACTTGTATGTCTCTTCAATGTGTCGGATTATTGACCTTGGTTCATATGTAAGATTATTGATGACATGCGCATACATCTCAGATGCAACAAATGCACATGTAATGTTCCTGTGGTATTTCTGAACACCAGGTAGAAAACATGTATGCTTGGTAACAACTGACACTGTCTAATAATCCTTCCATTTCCCCTTATACGCGTGCACTCTCCAGGGACAACCATCTTTTTCCTTAACACACCGAACTTCATATTGCGACCGGTTCGACTTGGCAACCCAAAACTCTCTATGAAGTGACACTGCAAAATGTTTTACCGCCTCCTTCATATCTTCTGCTCTACTATAAATCGCTCCCTGAATAACCTCATTTTCTTTGTACTCCCATCTCACACTATCCTCTTCAGAGACGATCAGCCCAAAAAAATCCTCACTAGCCCATTCTGCTAGATTAATATCCGTCTCATCATCTGACGAATCACCTTCCTCTACATGCTCGTTGTCAGAATCCTCCCTCTCCATTTCATCCACAATGGCACCGACAGTCTCCCCCTCGTCAGCCACTCCACCTGGTTGAATGCCCACTAGAGCTACTACGCCCCCGTCCTCTCGTGCGTTGACCTCCTTCACAGAAGTCTCGTTTACTTCAGCACTTGGTCCCTCGCCATCATCCATGTTCGTCTGCACACCTGGATCCTTCGGGTGAACAAACGGAACCAAAGCTAGAGGCCACCCGCGTTGCAATGCATTTTCCAAATACCATCTCCACACTCGAGAGTTTTGAACTGGCATTAGTTCCCAATAAAAACCCTCAGTTGCCCGACTTACTATAACATTGATTGTTATGTCACTTGTCTGTGGATCAACTCTCAAGCCCCTCATTAACCATCCTTTTATAGAAGGTACACTCCTCTTAGCCGGTCTCTCAATTCCCCTTTCTGATACAATAAAATCTGACAGATCTACCCCAGTTGGCCCGTAACGGACGTTTCCTGGTCCATGGTAAACTTGGAATATTTGTTTGTTCGACATATCTGTCAACGAAATAACTAGATCATATTACTCTTTCATGCAATAAACATCTACAACGTAATATCTTCTTGTGTAAGCCAATGCAACGGTAATGTATTAATTCCAAACTAGCAGATCTACGTAGTTACCGATATCTACAATACGCACTTCTAGATTACTACAACTAAAACCCTAAAAATATAATGCATTTATTCAAACAAATTTTTAAAGAATACACACTATTTAACTCAATAGTCACATATAGGATCTATGAATATTACCTGAAATCGGCGTCTGAATCCGGGAGGGCTTCGCCCCTTCTTCTCTTCTCCTCCCCTCTCTTCTTTTTTTTTCACTGGAATTGAGGAGAGAAGAATGAGGGCTAGGGGCTGGGCAGCAGGCCTTTTATAGGCAGCGAGGCCTGCCGCCCGGCCAGAGGGCGGCAAGGGGCCGCCTGCAAAATAGCCGGCCCTGACTGGCTTTTTTGCATTCGGGCCCCTTGCCGCCCCACCAAAGGGCGGCAAGGGTTTTCCTGCAAAAAAAACCCTCCCTCCGTCACTGCCCGTTCCTCCCCCGTTTGCCACGTCAGCTTGCCGCCCCAGAGGTGGGCGGCAGGGGCTATTTCTGCAATTTTTTTTGGTCGATAGATTATTTCTGTAAATATTAAAAAAAAAATCTAAATCCGAAAAAAATTCGACAACATGTTGCGCACCCCTTAGGAAAAAGTTCACTACCACATCCGACAACCATAGGACTGGATATGAATATAAGATGCACCCTTAACTTCGAAAACTAGTGTAAACTAGTAATATACCCGTGCTAACACAACGGCGTATTGTTAATCTTTTAGTAATGCAAAGTAAACAACCAAATGCTAAAAGATACATATTTTAGCAAACTAATGTCAAAATCTGAAAAACCAAACAATGATATATATTGTAATATATTTGGCCCAAAAAATAATCTGTAAATTCTCATACATGTCATAGTAACATGGTAAATTTCAATTTACCAAACCTAGGCTAAACTTTTCAAACAAAAATAATTAATCAACCCTTAATACTACATTACTATTAACATGGTAATACATTTAATTTAAAATCGTCACACAGTACAAACATGCATTTCATCATGGGACAATATCTTAATTACAAAATTGCACCAGTGCAATAGGTGAACTTTTGTCGGTGCTGCAATTCCTAATTTTTCCATTGAACCATCATCCATGCAAGAGTGTTGTCGCCCTTAACAACAATAGGACACTGCAAGTAAGAAAATCAAGAAGATAATACACTTCGTCATAGCACAAACAAAACAAGATGACGAAAAATATTTATTTGCTCCAAAGCAGAGTAGTGAAAGAAAAGATCTAAATCATCTATTCGGATCCAACTTATATGTTGTCGAACGATAAATGCTACATGACAGATTTTGCACTCTCTTGGAACAAATTTAATCTCTATGAACAAAAATAAATGCAAATCAGATAGTTGATGTGAATAAGGAAAAACTTTCATCTTACCACTGGTGCAGTCCCATTTGGCTTGCTTGGCCCTCAGAAAGGTTCTATTTCATGATTAAACAAAAATACTTCCTCTGTCCCAAAATGAAGCCATTTTTGAGGTTGGCACGGGTATTAAGAAAGTATGTGAGAATGATTGGAGGAAGTGTGTGATTGGTTGAAAAGAGAAAGTAGGTGAAGAAGAATGGTTGTGATTGGTTGAGAGGAGGAGGTAGGTGAAGAAATAGTTTCATTTTGGGACGAGACACTGTGCTAGAAATAGCTACATTTTGGGACGGAGGGAGTAGTAGCTAGAACTTATGTCTCTTTTTACGACAGGATAGAAATACAAACCAAGTGTGTTATACTTTATAGGACACATTGTTTCTTTTATACATGGATAAAGATTGAATTCTCAATTTAAGTTGCTTTGAGTCACCTATACGGCTATACCAACCGAGTTTGGTGTTTTTTAGAAACTTATACAATTAATATTAAAATGTAAAATACTAAGATAATGTACTACTATTTGGAGTAAAAGCATGAACTAATATAATCAAGTGATACTAACATATTTGATTAAAAAATTTTGCTATGACAAATTAGAATATTTTCTTCTACCCATAGCAAAGCATAGGCATTTTGCTCGTCCCATTTATAAATTTATATTCTATGTTTTGTAGACATGCAGCAGCACAACAAATCTTCAATTATGTCTCATGAAAAAAAAACAAAGCTTCAATTAGCATCTGACCAATCATACAAGACCGAAAAAAAGATGTGTGTTGCTCATCACAGTCTTTAATCAGGTGGGTCTCCAATAAATGCAATTCAGTGCAATAATAACTGACGGCTATAGAACAAATTTTCTTACATCTCAAGAAACCAGGGCATAGAGCTATCACCTTAAGAAGGTGCAGACTGCAGCTCCAGCATTCAAAAGGACAAGTGCAAATCTCTGTAACAACAAACCACTGTCACAAAGGACTATGCTTGCTGTTTGACCAGGACAACCACTGAATATTTGAACCATTCATTGCCCACTTGCCTTACCTCAAAAAATTCGCAAAAAAAACAAGTTCCTTTTCAACAGAAAGGATCACTATAGTTGAGCTTATTTGTTGCCAAAATAGCTATCAACACCATACTTACGACTCAGTTCAATCTATAACCTAAAAACATGAAAACAAACATGGTTACCTCATCAATGCCATTATTCATTGATGTCTGAAGAGTAATACAAACAGCACGAAAATATCGTCATCTGCAAAAAATACTGGATAAAAGAATGAGTTGCAACTGGATGCATACCTATGTTGCAAGACCACCAATTGCCAACCGAGAAAGGACTGTTTTTGCCCCACTTTTTCACACATTTATCCAACTTTGTCATAAATCATATTCCATTCAGCATCAAAGATTTATTGGCATTGTAGAGGATCAGACAACCTAGATAAAATAAGAATACAGTTAGAAATAGGGGAAGAACCGAGGGTGCATTTAAATATGACTACACATAAAGGTAACACTGATAGTGCTTGGATTCTGCTAGCATACCTGATTTCTGCATTTTCTTTTTCATATTTCAGTTCTTGTTCAATGTTTAGCAAACGAATCTTTGGACTTACGAACTTCTTTGGTTGTTGCTCAAATCCAGCATAGGAAAAATGTCTTCTCGAAGACAACACCATTAGGAAGAAACCTCTCATAATACCTCCAGGAACCTAATATTAGTCCAAAATTCAGACATCATAATTTCTAATGAAATTTAGTTGTTAAACATCTACTGAATAATATGAAGCAAAAACATGGAAAATTTCATCATTAAGGTAAACTTGTTGATCTATTATACCTCCTAGTATGAGAAAATACAATAGACTAACTATATATTTTTCTATATCATCAGGAGCTAACAAGTTTACCATGTTTGGTAAAAAAGGAATTGTATCAGTGTATGAAGAAGTGAATTAGTCTTGTTACCTTCAAATTACACGGTAGATAATTAACACATTGTATTTATTGAGTCTAACCCTGATTTAAGAGGCCGAAAAGTGTATCAAAATGGAGAGATGATGGAATCCCATCTCAAACATATTCAGAACAGCATATTGACTGCCTTCCTATGCCACATAAACCCACATGGGATCCTTCTTTCGAACCGGTCAACCGCATGTGCTTGCTAGAATCAAAGCTAAAGAAATACTCGAGTACTGGAGAAAAAATTCCCCCAGACCAGATGTAGTAGCGATTGATGGTCGGTGCGGTACCTAGGGATTGAAAGCCTTGCCGAGCTGGCGGAATGCATCGGTCAGCTTGTCACTCGTCGACATGGAACGACAACTTCCCTGTCATCGTCCTCCCTTTCCCGTTTCTCCAACTTGGCTTCCACCCTCGCGCATTCAGATGATTAGAGATTGGGTTGGGAGGGGCGAGAAGCTGTGGAGACGAATGGAGGAGCGCGATGGGGATCCCAGATATAGTAGAGATGGCCGGAGCGTATGGGCATTCCTCTGTTTCCATACACAGCAAAGAAATAATGACAACCTATGTATCAATTAATCTGCAAATCAGTAATAAGTATTGTTAATCATGTAATTGACTTGCTAGCTAACCTTTCTTTGGAACAGCTTATCATCTATTGTTCTCCTGTAGTTTGGCAGCAGTAATTTGTTGGTGATATCAGCCATGATACAGCTGTAGGTTTGTTGGCATTCAAAGTAAAGCCTAAATAATAATAAATTGCTCAAAAGCACTTAACTACATACTGCAGTGCACATTTCGCTTTATGCAAATGTGGCGATGCAACCCTTTACAATAGAGATCAAAGAATGAAATAATAAATGAAGATCACACCTGCTAGATATAGGAACTGTACTATTTCTAATTTCTAACTTCCCTTTGTTCTCTTTGATGAACACATAGCCTGATAGACAAAAACAGAAATTTGTTCACATGGGAATTTCATTGAGCACCTAGCACACTAAAATCAAGACATTTACATGTGGAGTGTGAGGAAGAAGGCAAGACAAACAGATGATTGCTGCCAAGAAATATAGGATCTATCTATACATCGCCAAAACCGAGAAATATATATTGATCTCCTGTATATGGACTCGATTATTACATAAACGCTACACATCATTTTGACTGTACATTAACAGATTAGATAAGTACTTAATCATGCATAGGTGGTACAGTGGCAAACAGAGAAACAAATAAAAAATAATATAATTCCGACCCATAATCCTCTAAACTATTTATTCTCACAAACATAAAAGAAGTGAAAAATTGAGCACTACAAAACTCTCTATAAGATTTTGTATGCAAGAAAAGACGTGGCATATTCAAAGACAGTTGTAAATATGATGAATGGCATCCACAGGGTACTGTTCCTACCCAAGGTCAGAAGTCAAAAATTTGTGTTATACCAACATAAATCGACATTATTCATAATCTACCCTATGAAATCATCAGCACACAATTACAGCAATACACACATCCAAACAAAATGCCATTCATCAATCAACACTCTAGCAATCACTGGATCAAGCAATCTCAGTTTGGATACCTATACAATGGGAGAAGACAGCGGTGGTGGTGACGAGAGGAGCCATCGGGGTCGCCTGCCGCACAGGGGTTGCAGCGGAGTAGCCGCCGGGGTCGCGGGATGCGACGACGGCGGAGGGGCGGGATGCGGCGCGGCACGACGATTACCTGGTGGTGCGTGTGATGGGCGTCGGCAGCGTCGATCTGGAGGCGCAGCGGCGCGGTCGGCATGAGGGCCGTCGGTGTCCCCGATCTGAGGCGCGATGGCGGGGATGCATTATCAACGGAAGCAACAGTCCTCCACACTGCCACAGGAGTAGGTGTCGATGGCAGTGACGTTGGCGGCGGGGGAATCGACGTCGGCGTCGGGTAGGAGGAGTCACTGCCAGGGGTGGCGGCGTCGGTGGCAGGTGGACGGAAGGAGGAAAGGCGGGGGACAGCGTCGGCGACGGGGAGGAACAGGAGCTTCGCCTGGCCCCTGAACTGCTCCGCGCTCTGCTCCGCCGCCGCCACCGCCGCCATGGCCGTCGCCGGCGCCGCCGCCGCCGCCGCGGAAGATGAGGAAGAAGAGTTGTGCAAGCCTCGGAGACGGCGAAAGATTCATTGAGATTTTGCAGTTTTTTTTTTTTTTTGAAGGGGAGTTGCGCGATCTGCGCCGCGAGCGGGGTGGGGACGCGTCTTGCGCAATACTGGTGGGGAGGGAGGGAGGGGCGTCATTTGTTATCGATCGGAGCCGTCCGATCGACTTCATCAATTGATTTTGGACCATTGGATATATGATATGATGAATGATGAATGAGTAAAACCATTTGTTGAATTATAGGGTAGAATTAAGTCACTCATCAGCTTTGGAGGGGTATTTAATTATTTGTCAAATATTTACCATGCATGTGTCAATGATAGTTGAGCTCTCATATATTTATAAGATGTACTCCCTCTATCTAGAAATATAGGGGACTTTGCTCCATTAGTTTATCCACAAATATAGAGGATTTCTCTTTTTCCGAGACAACCAAGGAATACCAGCTATCCGAAAGTAAATATATATACTTATACTTTGAGTGATCAACCAGTTCCTGTCAGGATTAAAAAGATAAAAGAAAACGTACTAGTACTACTAATTTGTTTATTGTGCCTAGCATACCTTTTGAGACTGCACATGTACTATTTACCCTTACTTAACAGTAAGTTATATTTGTCATATCTAAGGGGTTGTTTGGATGGGAGGGACTAACCATCCAAATAGGAACTAAGAGAGTGGCAAATAGTGGATGGCTGTTTCAATTGACCTGACTCCTGCGTGAAAATATTAACCTGGTCATCAACCTATATGACATACACCATGAGCAAAAACAAAATTAAAATCAAGAACAAATGCAACCAATCCCCTAATCCAATCAAGAACAAAAATCAAAAACTCACTCTCGGATTTCACCAAGAATTGATTCATCTTCTCTCGGTGGCATTGGGGCGAGGTAACCTCGCTGAGGGGAAGGGGTCAACGAAATTTTGGAAATTTCGAACAAAATATTGAAAAAAATAACAAAAATGAGGAAATTCGGCAAGACATTCGTCGTTTCTAGCTACTTCGGCGACAAAACAGAAGAGGCATGCATGATTCACAACGAGGATAACTGCCTAGAACACAATACACCTGCAACTTGAGCTGTCGTCGCCCATGATGCCAACGAAGAACAGTTGTCGTCGACGTCTCCTGAGACTGTGGTTGTCGATGTTGCTTGAGTACTCGCTCAACCTCCGTGGGCCACATCGATGCAGGGATTGCCCGCTCCGCTGCTACGTGCCGTGTTGGTGAAGCGAGACAAGATGTTGTGTCTGCCATCGATTTCTTCGATGAGTTCGCTCTTTCGTCGTTCCAGCCGCTGTTGAGGACTCCAGCGAGCAGCGCACCACCTAGGGAGGATTAGGAATTTTGACTGATTTTGACCCTGTTGACTAAAATATTTGACCAGCAGCCATTTTTTTCGGACCCCTTAAAAGAACCGAAATCCTAGGGTTTAGGTCGTCTACATTTTCGATTATGTGTTGTAATTTCGTTCTTGATCTTCGATTTTGTGTTGTAATTTTGTTCTTGATCTTGTTTGCAGCTACAATCTGGGAGTGGGAAGAGGGCATGCTGATTGATTGACTGCCACCACCATCTGAATCTTGTGGGGGAGCCCCTCTACACGTCGACACCGGCATTGTCGCTCCTAGGGTCTCCTTCCGTCTCATGTACATTGGAGTGGCATTGACTTTGCCACCATGCGCCACCGGTGACCGCGTAGTGCACGCACCAGTGGAAGCCCAGCTCTCGCATGGCTGCTGAGCTCCCTCTGCTGTTGGCTTCGCCATGGCTACACTCACGCACCAGTGCCATCACTGTTGTTGCCACTTGCCTTTGAGCAGGGGGCCGTGACAGAGCTTCGTAGATGACCATGGCGGTGGGAAGAGTTGTGTGCGAACTACAGTTCCCCCACCATCGGCCTTGGCCTCCCCTTGCTCTCCCCCGTCACTAGCTTCTATTGCTGCTTTATCGCTGTTGCTGCCTCCTCTCCCCTCAACCCCACACCACGACGGCAGTCGAGGATACCGCGCAGGGAACGAGGAAACCTAGTGTCACGCCCTAAGGTTCCCCTCCCTTGTTCTAAATTCATAAAATAAATCGTCCGAAGAAATTGTTTAATTTAACCTAGAGATGAATCCCTAATTAACAAATGCAAATAATAATCGGAATCGACATGTGGAATTTTTCTTGGATTCTACATGTCAAAATATGCTAACAGGATTTTTAGTGGAATTTTCAGAGCCTTGGAAATAATTTTAACCAATTAAAATGAGCAAAGGGCAATGTTAAATCTCTGGAAAAATCCTTTCTTCTTTTTCTTTTTCTTTTTCCTCTTTTTTCCTCTCTTCTTGGGCCGTCGGCCCAGTCCATTCACCTCCCGCGCCGGCCTTCCCTCGGCTGGGCCGGCCCAAGCCGGTTCCTCCCTCCTTCCTAACCCCTCCGGGTCACCGACAGGTGGGGCCCACCTGTCGGCCCCTTCTTCCACCTCCCGCCGCCGCTCCCCAAGCCGGCAACCGCCGAGCCGCCCACGCCGCCCGCCTCCCCCGCCTTCCGCGCCCCACTCCGCGCCCCGCGCCCACGTCGCCGCCCACCGTCCCCACTCCTCCCACTCAAGCGTGCACCCCGCAACGGAGGGATTCGAATTCGAATCTCTCTCTCTCTCTCTCTTTCTCTCCATTCCCCACGTCGGCGAGAAATCCGGCCACCTCCCGGCCTCGTCCGTCTCTCACGAGCCCCAATAAAGCTTCCCCGCACTCCCCACCACCTTTTTCCTCTTTCCGCCGCTCTCTCCCGTGCCCTCCATCACTCCCGCACCGCTACACCCGCCGCCGCCGCCTTTTCCACTCCTCCGGTCGCCGCTCGCCGCCGCTGGAGCCGCCGCCGAGCCAATCTGCTGCCACCATTAGCTTCACCGCCGCCAAAGCTACCCCGGCCACCGCATCCCCCATCCAATCCCGCCGTCGGGGCCCGCTTCTCTCCGCGCGCCGGTGAGTACCACCATAGCCGCCGCCGTCGGCCATGGCTCTCGCTCGTCGTGGGCACCCTCTCTCCCTCTAACCTCTCACACTTCCTCTCTTAGGGTGTCCCGGAGCTCGGCCGCCGTTCGCTGTCGCCCTTCGGTCGCTCACCGTCGCCATTTGCCGTCGTCTCCTCCCGCGCCGGCCGAACCCCGGTGAGAACTCCCTCTCTCTTCCTCCCGCGCGCGCCGCCGCTCCCCGCATGCGCGTCGCCGCGATGTACCGTCGCCCGCGTCGCCGGCCGCCGCCGTCGGTGGCCGCTTGCCGCCGCCGCCCTCGCCCTAACCGGCCGGCCGGCTTGAAGCCGAGCCAAGCCAGGCCGCCTTCCTCCTTTCCCCATGAGCCGCCGCCCGGTGGGCCCCGCCTGCCAGTACCCCTCCCTCCCCCTTGAGCTGCTGACCAGTGGGGCCCGCATGTCGGCGCCGCCCCACCCCTTGCTGACGTCAGCCCTGGGGCAATATTGCGCAATAAATACATTAAGGCTTTTTTCTTTATTAGTAAAAACACAGATAATCTTCTAAAAATCATAAGTAATTCATCCGAGCTCCGATTAAGTCCATTCAAGTCTCAGTAAATTCATAAAAATGTATAGAATCCATTAAAAATGGTTTTGTTTCCTGTTTCAGTAGACTTATAGCATGTTTTGCTTGTGTGCTTTGTTTGTCGTGTAGATTTCGCCCGTTTCGTCGATTCGTGGTTTCTCAAAGAAGTTGCTGTGGTTCCATCAGTGCGAGAGCAAGGCAAGTCATACATTGCAATTGATCATATTGTACCCAATTTACAAATGTCCCGCATTTCTATTAAATATTGCATTGTTTTACAATATCATGTGGGATGGGTCCTATTACTCAGCTATATGTTGTTTCCCTTACGCCATTGATAACTTAGGTATTAAAATGACTAGATGTCGGTTTAGGAGATGCTTAGCCATGCTTAGTTCAACTAGTGCACAAAAGGGGATCACACTAAAGCATAGACTTTGATTATTGGCAATAGCTTTGGATTAGTGCCACCGCAATGGTGTTGGTTAATTAAAATACACTACATGGTGGGCTGTGGGTGCATGGTTTTGCTAGTCGTGCCCATGGCGATTAAGGACCGGTTCGCTGGATGCCCTGGAAGAACTTATCGTACTTACCACAAGCCAGCGTGGGCAACGGCTGGGCTTGCAGTGTAGCTTTTCTCTAGCCGACGTACCCAGGCGAGGGTGGGCGTGATGGAGTTGGGTCGGCCGGGGTGTCCGGTTGATCGGCTTCCGGATTCACCGCGGCATGAAAGGGGGCTGCCCGTTGCCTGCTGGGGACGGGGGCGAACCCTAAGGTGTGGTGCGATCGGTTAGAGAGGGTTATGCGAAGGGTCCTGTCACGGCCTCTTTCCGGTATGTCGTGGTGGCATGTCGGCGCACGGGAACGTGTCGTGGGGATGTGTCTTGTGGGTACAGTTGTACACCTCTGATCAGAGTAAAACTATTCGAATAGCCGTGCCCGCGGTTTTGGGCGGTCGACCAGATTCACCGTGATTAGTCTCACCCCTAGTTTAGCTTAATGAACTGGTGTAGTTCAGGTGGTTGGTTGGGCCTGTTGCAACGTGGCGTAGCGTTGGACAGTGACTGGTTAATATTGCTTAATTACTACAACTGTTTTTACTATTTTCAACTACTGGTTTTAAATGCCTGCTTTATGCAAATGAACCCCGTAGCCTCCGTTGGTTATATCCTGCATCATACCTCCTCTTCCGGTATGACTTGCTGAGTACAGTGGGTAGTACTCAGTCTTGCTCTTTTCCCCCACACCAGAGTTGAAGTTCTTCTCAGTTGGAGATGTCTTGAAGAGGTTGGTTTCGTCGCTGCCGTCAAGGGTTGCCTGTGGAATGGAATCGCCTGCTGCAGGAGTCAAGTCTTCAGGCTTAGCTCGCTTTTACCTTTTTTGCTGCATTTGTAATCTTTTATATTTTTGTAAGACGTGGATCTGTATGTCAACAATTGTCATTTGTGTACCCTGGCTGGTCCTGGACAGGGGTTTAATACACATTCAGCTTAGAAATTCTGGTTCGTGAATTTCTGGGCGTGACAAGTTGGTATCAGAGC